GTGATGATTAGAGTTCATGTTTTCTTCCGAGTGGTGAGGTTATCCAAAATGCATGATTATGATTGTTGTGTCTTTCTAGTTAGTCGCTTCCGAGTCTATTGTTAGCTTTTGCATGTACTAAGCAGAAATACTGTTTGTGCATCCAAATGCTAAAACAAAGTTATGCTATAAATACCTGTTTTGCATGTGTCATCTCTAAATCTTCAAACGAATACTCATGGAGCGGCGGGAGAGAGCGTCATCTTCTATGATAAATGGTGTGTTCCTCTCTGACAAGTATGTCATCTATTTTGTTTTAATATTGAAAAAAGCTAGTAAATGAGATGCCTAGTCCTGAATTAGTTAAACAAATAAAAGTACTACTCTCCGAGGAATATTGACAGGCACCCATGAATTAGGTTAGTCATGGTTTTTGAAAGACAATGGTGGAGAGGAAGTGTTAATCAGGGAAACCACTCTCGCTTGTTTATCATATAAGATGACGAGATTCTCTGCTGTCAAACAGTCGACTAAAAGTACACCTTCAAAAATAAAATCTTCTTTGTTTTAAACAATGAGCTCTCGTACATAAGCAAATCCATGCTTTCCTATATGAAGGGCCCTTCTTTCTTTTATTGTTGAGTCATCACCTTCTCATTCAAGCACCAACATAAAGAGTGCTATTGACATTCTTAATTTAACATGTATTTGGTCTAATTAATGTTGGATGGAGCATGACTGGATGTTTTTTACGCCGAATTTTAATGTAGTCGCTGCTTAAACTTCGAAGGTGCTCTGCATTCATGGTCTTCAAAAAGGCTAGCGAGATACCATTCTATCACATTGTATCATGATAGTTTTGACGAAGTGTTGATTTTTGAGGTATTTTCGACAGAAGTGGATTTTATTTGCTCAAAATGAAGCATCAAGAAGACACACAACACGATAAGCACACACTCGGCCTCTGCATAGCTAGGTTGCACACAGTCAACACCAACTCACACATACGAAAACACACCGACAATTAGCAAAGTTATATAAGACCAAAGATATGTGTAGGCGAGGAAAAGGTGATATGCGATTGGCAAATTACAACAATGACCATATCCGCACCAACCATGTCATGACACCACATGAACGACAAGATTGTTCAACAGAAGCGCCTTTAGAAAAGGAGCGACACTCAAGCGCCGCCGTTACCGGATCCAAGCACATGGTCAGAATCTAGGTTTTCACCCAAGATAATTAGTCCGAGTAGACATAGTAGTACGGTTCTTCTTCAACATCATCATCATCATCATCTTCTTCTTCTTCTTCTTCTTCTTCTTCCACCACTTTGAGGTTATTGTCCCACTCCCACTTACGCTTCCTCACTGATCGGGTTTTGTCGTCATCATCTGCAAACGGAACAAAAACATCTCATGGCTGACTGACTGACGGTACAAGCAAAGAAGTCCTAAGGGCATCTCCAGCCGTTGGCCCCCCAGGGGGCGTCAAAAAGCGCCGCGTGGGGGTGAGCCGGCGCAAAAAATGGCCCTGGGGGCGAGTCGGTCCCCAACCGTCGGCCCCCAGGACCGCCCCCAGGTGCGTATTAAAAAAAGAAGGACCGTTCGGTGAAGTTAAGATAAAAACTAGTTAAATTTCGGCCAAACATGGCAAATTTCAGCGAAATTCGCGCATTTTCATTACATTAACCTAATCTAAAAAAAAGAAAGGGGCTGAAGTCCTGTTCGCCAAGACTCCTGTTCGCGGAGCGAACGGCGGCCGAAGCCGTTGGCCGCCGCCTCGTCTCCGGGGAAGCGTTCTGCCATGGCGACGGCGGGGCTGGGCGGGCTCGGGAGAGGTAGAGGGAGGGGCTGGGCAGCGGCGCTCGAGAGAGGTAGGGAGAGGGAGGGGCTGGACGGCAGCGAGGGGCGGGGCTGGTGTGGGCACAGGCGAGTGGAGGCCACCGGCTTTTATAGCGGCACCGCGCCCGTGTGTACGCGTGCGAGGGAGGGGAGGGGAGGCGCGCCGTCCCGTGACGCGCCGCCCGTGAGGAATCAATGGCAAGGCTGACCGGCGGCAGCCTTGCCATTGATTCCCCGCGGGAACCGAGGCCGTTGGGGGAAGACGAGGCGCCGAGTCGCTGACGCGGCTGGCCCGCGGCTTTTTCGCGCCAAAACAGCTTGCCCCGGGCGCCCCCAGCGCGTCGGGTTCGGCCTGGGTCCGCCGGCGCTGTTTTCGGCCCAAGCCGGCGAAAATCGGGCTCCTGGGGGCGTGACTGGGCCGTTTTTTCGGCGTCAGCGCGAAAAAATCGCCTGGGGAGGCCTTCCTAGGGGCGCGGCTGGAGATGCCCTAACAATGGTTGCGCTATACTGGGATGAATCATGCCAATTGTCCTTGAATGAACAAACAAGGCGTTTGGTTAGAAACTTAGAATCAGGTAC